TCCCCCCAGAGGAGCTGGAGGAAGTGTCTGGAGAGAGGGAGGTCTGGGCATCTTTGCTTAGACTGCTGCCCCTGCTACCCAGTTCCAGATAAGCGGAGGAAAATGGATGGATGGATGGATAAAGCTTTGTCATGTGAACTTGTGGTTTCACACACCTACAAGCTGCACTGTCACTACCATGCTCATTGTAATGAATCTGATCTGAAATCGGGGTTCGGGGTCATACCGGGCTGTTGTCGTGCTGCCTGCTGATGGCAGGCCCGGGGGCGGACGACAGGGAGTCTGGTGCAGCCCAGGATGTGGCTCATGTGCTGGGGTTGTAGTAGTAAACTCTTCCTGACTCCTCATCCAAAAGCTGCTCCCAGCCCCAGGGGCCTTGTTAGGTTAGGACCGGGGGTAACACTGCAGCTCCGGGGGACACGTTCCAATTTTTCATTAAGACTTTCATATAACAACCCTGCATCCATCCTGGAGATGACAGCTGCTGTTTTCAGCTGCTTTCACATTTCTTCCTACTGCACCACTGTGTGCATCATTAAACTGTATTTGTCACTTCACTTTCTTTCAGTGGTTCTGTCTCAACTGCCACGTCAACCTTGTTCAACCCTCACATTATGTCGTCATGTCAGACTCTCTCTCTCCTGCCACCTCAAATCCTAACACTTCACTACTTTCATTTTCAGTGCTTCTTTCACAAGCGCCACCTGAACTCCTTTCAGTGCTTAAACATGTTTTTATGAAAATAAATAAATAACATGTAAATAAAACAGTGAAACACACCTGTGGTTGATGCCTATCAGAGGTCACCTTACCTGCCATCCATCCTGTGGGCTGAGGGGGGAGGCAGGGCTTATCATACTGGAGGAGGAGACTGATGAGGAAGGGGTGTGACTTGGAGGAGAGGGGGCGGGGTCTGGGAGAGGCGGGGCAATGGAGATCACAGGGACTGTCGTTTTCCTCAGACTGGACACGTTAGCATAGATGGGCGAGTTAGGGCCGAGAGAGCTTTGGTTCTACAAAGAGAGAAGGAATTTAAAGGGGCAGTCTGTCAGATTATGTTGACCCCTTTGGCCCATGAACAAACATTAAACTGTCTTAAACTTGGGTCTGAAACTTGGCATGTACATTAGTGTTATTTAGAAAATGATGTAGGAGTGTTGGGCCTGTGGTTGTCCAGCGGTTTTGTAAATAAAACAATGATCCTTGTTTGTAAAAAGGCCTGAGTGTTGAAGGGGTGAGCTGCCATTCTCTGAGTTAATCTTCTTCAGCTTACTGGCATCATATCACCTTTTTAGTAATAAATGATTTCACTTTCACTGACATTTAGTATCCAGTAGTTTCCCCCTATTTTATGAAGATTTTTCTCATTAACAGTAACACCGTGTGTGTGGGTACAGCGAGCTGCTGGCCCACCGGGGGATCCCCGCCTACATTTCATAAACACAGGGCTGCACCCCGCCCCCACCTTGGATGCTCAGACCACGTTTCTTTGTTCCTGTATCCAGCTTACAGACAAAGACTGAAACAAACAAACCCTGTCACCAAACAAATTAAACTCTGGACCCCAGAGACTAAAGGCATCCTGCAGGACTGTTTCGCCCAGACAGACTGGGATGTGTTTAAAGCTGCAGCCACCTCAGAGGACTTTTCTGTCAGTGTACAGGATTATG